GGCCAGAGTCACGGAACGAATTAAGTTCGTAAACCGAGGTTCCACTGTACTTCGAACTGCTGTAAAGAAGATCGGAAGCCTCTTCTCTGTATTTTTTTTCCTTTTCTATTTTTCTTTTCCTTTCCCCCCCTTTTTTGCCCATTGAGCTTCCTCTTGGATTCCCTTTTCTTTTCTTTTTCTTACTTTATATTAGCTTGTATTATTTTTATCATTTTAAAAACATCGTTCGTAACATTGTATATATAGAACAAAGGATGCACAGGGAAAAGAGATAGGAAATTAATTTGTAATGTTGTTTGAAGGATCTTTGTAAGACGCAGCCGGTGCCCCCTTCCAAGGTGGGGCAAGCCAGGGGGGCCTGAACAATTTGGTGAAAATAAATTCGAAATTGGGAGAGGCGGAAGAAGTTTTGCCAAAGGGTGCCTCGTTTTCTACTTCGGCAGGGCCGGACACCAAATTAATGCAAAACAGCGGCCGCACGAAATTCAAGAGGACGAGCATCGACCGTCTGATGAACACTCTGGTGCTCTGGGTAGGTAAGCGCCCCGTGGCCGCGTTACGGTTCGTGCATTCTCCGCGTCTTCGGGCGCAGAATTCGTCCTCGGTTCGCACGTTGCATTTTCTCCGCGCCGGTGCCTTTGGTCGATCCCCGGCGCTGTTTCAGTTTCCCGGAGGAGAAACCGAGGCAAAGAATGTGGTGGCTCGCTCCACTAGGGGGCGGCTGAGCCCTCGGCCAGCTCTGCAGGGTCGTTGGCCCTGGGAACGTAAGAAAGCTGAAAGGTCTCCTTTCCCTCGGCAGATTTTCGGGTTCCTGGTGTGCATGGGGGTGATCCTGGCCATCGGCAACTCCATCTGGGAATACGAAGTGGGCGCCTGCTTCCAGATTTATTTGCCTTGGGACAAGGTGGTCGACAGTGCCTTCTTGTCTGGGTTCCTCTCCTTCTGGTCTTACATCATCATCCTCAACACCGTCGTTCCCATCTCTCTTTACGTCAGGTATTTCGAACCCGCCTCCCGGGTCGCTACCGGGAAGGAGAAGGAGATGATGGTGGGCGTCCATGTCCACCTCTCGATTCTTCCTCCAGAAAGGCTAAAGGCTCAACTAGGGGGAGCCAGGGTGGTCTGGTGGTTAGCTGAGCCAAGGGACCCCGAATTCTAATCCTGGCTTGGGCACGAAGCCATCTGGGGGACCGTGGGCCAGTCCCTCCCACTCAGCCCTGGGAAGCCGGGGCCAAGAAAATGCCACCAGTGGTCAAGGCTTGGCCAGGCCAAGGCTTGGCCAGGCCAAGCACCCCCTTAGAGCCAGATTGGGCAACCGGGCTTCTGAACATCTGGATTCACCCAGCAGTTCACCAGGCAGCGCCAGCGTTTCTCTATGTAGGGCAAAGGGTGAATTCAGAAATCCAAAGGCCGTTTTAAGGGGGAGCGGGCTGTTTTTAGCCCAGCCGAACATGCCGGAAAGGAAGCATGGGTTTTGGGGTGCAGTCGGAGGCGTGCAGGAAGGTTTGGGGGTGGGGGAGTGGGGGGGGTTCTTTCTAGCTGATACTGTTGACTACTGGGTGGGGGGGATGAACTAACTCTATCCCATTATGCTGAACCCCAGTAGTAATAATAGTAATAATAATAATAGT